GTTGTGTACTAATATGAGGAGGAGTAACTGACATACTAATATAATTTAGTTAAATGTAATTACTATAAATGTAATAAAATAATAATACAATGTCTGTCTTATTGGAAAATTAGTTTTTAACTTTACATATGATTTTAATAAGTTAATATTATCTGTAGTACTGGTTTTGACTCCATTATGACTTGCTTGTGGTGCAATATATTTGATCATAAGATCGTGTCTGATTTGTTGGCGGTGGTGGTTGTGTATATTGCTGATTGGCATTTGGTGGTTGACTATATTGATTATATGTGCCATAATAAGGTGGTTGTGTACTAATATGAGGAGGAGGAACTGACATACTATGCATTGGTGGAATATGGGGTAAAGTATTAATAATTGGTGGTATATTTTGCATAGAAGCAATTGGGGCAATGTTGGGTGGTGGTAAATTATTATATGTATTACTGTAATTGGATACTGGATTAAAATGCTGTACAGAATAATTAGTCCCTTGTGTCTCATTCAAATTAGTTGTATTCACATTGGTTGGTGCGTTAGTATCTTGTATTGGTACTGTTATAAGATTTGTGCGCATTGGTGTTGATGATATCATGGGATAAGAATTTCTTTGACGGTTCTCTGTTTGCGAAGCTGGGTTAATATTTGATGGATGCACCCTAGTGTCAGACTTCCTTAAAATCTGCGGAGGCTTTGCTTCTATAGGAGCAGGCAGCTTAATATGAATATTAGTAGTTTCTTGTGCAGAATGGGTAACAGACACTGATGAATTAATATGCCTGTGATTGATGTGTGCCTGTAAATCACGCTGTGAAAGGTATGTTCTTCTGCAACCAGTATTTCCATACCTCGTTCCACCATATGTACACATGAAGACTGTTCCTAAGCCAGTTTGCTCAACTCGACAAACTTTATCATGGCACCTAGGACAAGTCTTTGGTTCTGCCTTAGCACATTTCAGGCAAAAATATATGTTTACATGGTATCATACGACCGTAGATTAAAATTGGTTTATTGCACTGATCACATGTTGAATCATAGGATTCAATACTTTTTCACCTTGAAGACTTACTTTTTGTGATCCCATTGCAACCGTAACATTGGTTCTGGAGGACCTCTTTGAATCGTGGTAAAAGTAGGAGCTTCAAGTTGTGAAATCTGCTTCTAAATCAATTTTGGGCGCCACGTTTTCATTGTTTTCGACTTCTTGCTGTTCCTGAGGATCAGATTCACTAACAACTGTAGGAGCATCTTGTGTGATTTGCTCTGAAGGAGATTGTTCTTCTATTGATTCTTCATCTGATGAAATTACTTTTGAAGCTTTGCGTCCCCTGCCTCTGCCACGACCTCGCGCACGACCTCTACCACGGCCCCTTCCCCTACTGCTTCTACCACGCTTAGAGCCTTCTTCGCTTACCATATTCAATTACAGATGCTAAGGTTTACAATCAGAAGACACAAATGTAAATACGATTAAATAAAATTTTGTTAAAGTTTGAAATCACTGTTTTGCTGAATGAAGTTCATCC